TATTAAAATTTAGATGCAGTAAACTCTAGTCCTTAGACGACTTGTTTGACTGATAAAATATAAAAATGACAGACTGACCCTTGATTGTACCACCAATGAGCATGATGATATAAGCATCAGGATAGACCCTAGCAGCTTGCTGTAAGCCAAGGTAAATAAAGCGGACTCTCAGAAACTCCTGTAGTACAGCAGCAATCAGCACTATTGAATACAAATTCATTACCTTGTAGACAATATCAAATGGAGAATAGTTCATCAGATACCTTGGAAAAATGAAAATTTAACAATTTAATTTTTTTAACTGTGCAATGTCACGGGTATGAGAATCAATGTTGTTAAGGTGAATGCTTTTTGGTCAGTGAGTTGTGTCCATGAGTTGTTATATTGTGGCTAAATTGTCACTGTATGGCAGGAAAAACACTATATACAAGTTAGTGAATATAAGCTGTGAGATCGAGACTTCATGTGAGAGTTAGTCAGTGATAGTGCTGTCCATGCTTAGTAATAGATCGTATTTGATAGTCTGTGCCTATGAGGACATATTTCAACCAGGCGGATCTTTTGGCAGATACCAAGAATAAAGATAAACCATATTAATTCATGAATTGTTGTTGCCTCTAGTATTATTCAGTGTGCATGGCTCTTAGAGCATAGTGTGACAGTTTATAGTGCACCATAGACAACGTTGCCAGAAATACACTAAGGGTCTCGACAATAGAAACTCAGAGTATTTTGACATGCAAGAGCCGATGATGCTATTCTATTTCAAATATTCCAGATTAACTTATTTTAAACTTATAAAATTGAATGCAGTGAGGAGATTGGATACCAACATTCTTGCAGGATTTACAATACTTTTTTTTCACATATAAAAATAAATAAAATTTGCTTACCAGATCAGTGTGATATAAATAATAAGTCCATGCTCCTTCAAGATGTCAATCAATGGGTGAGAGAAGAGAAAATTTGCCACGAATACACCAGAGAGTCCAGCAATAACAGTACAGAACCATGATGCAAAAGGATGGTTTTGTTTAAATTTTGGACCTGAAATAAAAAAATATTTCCTGTGAAATTTATGAGAGTTTTTAAAAAAGATTAAATCTCCTACACATCTACAGCATTATGAGGATACTAATGTCTTTTTAAACAAACTGCACACAAAATATATACCTAGATCTTTAGAATCTTCTCGCACAATTCTGCTGGCCAACACAAAATGTGCGCCATAGAAGAGTGGAAACATGTTCACATTCATTACATAGGTGGCCAGCTCAGTAAGTGAATAAACAGTTGACACATTAGCAGCCATCGTTGCTGAAACCTGTGACTTAGCTTTTGATAGATTTTAATATACTCCTCTAGTTGAATGCTTTTACTGACATCTGCTGGAGAGAGTAAAAACAATTATTTCTTTTTGGTCTGAGTAGCATGTAATTTTGTTTTATTTTTATACAAAGAGGATAGATTTTTAAAAGTTTTTATGGGTAGAAATTCTATCAAACAGGGGCTAAAAAAAGGATGATCTAAAAATTTCCCCAAATTATGCATAATTGAGATACATTTTATGTGTGCATGCATTAGGGCATGTGTGATGAGTAAGAAATGAAATGTAGAAATTCTTCTTTACAGTTACAAAGTGTGACATAAATCAAATATTTTAATGCTGCAACTGAGAGAGATTTACTTATGCTACAGAAAAATTTTTTAAATAACTAAAGCAAATTGATATTATGCCATAACTTTAACACAAAATTATTATTGTTCCCTGACAGCACAAACATAACAAAATGGTAAGAATAATTATTATAAAGCAGAGCTCCACAACCATTTAGCCGCGGCACAGTGGTGTGCCACAAGACGATGCCAGGTGTGCCACTCAAAATGCTCTGAAAATGAAGAAAATAACGGTGTAGGCCTATACTTATGTGACCACTTAAATTTTGTAAAACCATTATGCTACAAAAGGACATTGGTAGGCCCATTACCAAGTTAATTTTAGGCAACATAAAATTTAAAGTAAAATATTAGTATTTCTATGGGATTTATGAGACTGCTTTAAGCTAATGAGAAGGGCAATATTTGTTACTGCTAGTTGTAACAAGTGATGCAAGTGTGCATCTGTTAGTCTGGATCTGATTGGACATTTCAGATTTTTCATTCAGGGAAAAAGTCTGTTCACAGACATAGTTTCTGCCAAAGATGGCTGCAATTTTGAATGTATGGTTCCTGTGATTAAGATATGTCTCAAAATGGAGAGATAAATAGAAATTAGTATGGTTGCTTGATTTAAATTAGTCTTCAAGGAATCCCAATTCTGCAGTTTGGCCAGTTCCATTTGTAAATCAGATCAACAATTTCAGTGGCAAATAAAAAGGGGTTCCTGAAAAGCTCTACGTCCTGCAATATATCTAATTTGAAACTCCTTTTGCAACATTTCCAGCAAAACTAAAAATGTTTGTATTTTTTTAAATTGGGAATACAACTGCCTTTTTTCAACCAACAGGTTTTGAGTTACAGGGACATAGCATAAGTTTTCCACATTTTCTTGAGAGAGGATGTCTAATTTTACTTGAAATTCTTTCACTTGTGTTTGTAAATCACATATGAGTTTCCACTCTTCTTTAAGCTTCACATTGAAGGCGAAGCTGTTGGGTAGCTGTTACATACGTCAGAAAGGAAGGTGCCATTTCCATTCTATCTCTCTAATTTACTCGGCATGCTAAAAGCAACTGTATGATTTTGAAAAATAAAAAAGCTGGCATAGCAGTTGATGTGGATAAAGCTGAAAGGGCTTACTACACTGACCTCTGGGAGAATGAAAAATATCGAAGAGATGGAAAAAAATTCTTCTAAGTAAGAAGTTTTTTCCATCGAAGTGGTTATTCACACCCGGGTACCAGAAGTGAGAGGTTGGGATTATACATACATTTTTTGGGGGGTTATATGCTGCTCTTTATTTCATAAATTTATTTTATCAAAATGGCCCCAGACAGCCCGCCATTCGCACCCGGGTCCCTTTAGACCAATGCTATTTGGATGTCATTTGTGATACTTTATATTAGTTAAACTGAAGAAGTAAGTTTACAAACATTATAGTCCATTCAATTATCTTTCATTTGATACCTCATTTTGCCTTATAAATCCAACAATAATATTTTAAATAGTTTTTTAATCCCAACCTCTCACTTCTGGTACCTGGGTACGAATAGTTGCAGCCTTTTTCATATCTTCCAGGATTTTAAGTTTAGTTTGAATTAATAAAAAATAGCTGGCTGGTGATTTCTGAGATAATAATTTATGAATGAGAAAGCCAAGGTTCTCCAGGATGAGTTAGTGAGTGAAAGGCATGCCTGTTACTAGTGCTCAAAAGGAGCAGTTTAAAGGAGTGGGGGTGATTAGTGTGACCCAGGAATGGATTTATCCAGTTTTTATTATTATTTTAAATAAATGCATAAAGGGGGAAAAATTATGGGTTCTGATCTAAACTCTAACTCTAAGTCTAACCCTAATAAATTATAATTAGTTAATTGGGTTCTGTAATTCAATAGTATAAATATAGTCAGAATAGTGGTCAGTTGTAAAACTAAAACCATTGACCATTGAATTTGAATCATTGAATTTAATCATTGAAATTTAAAGAAAATAAGAAACTACATCTACATAATATTATTATTAAACAAATACTTCAATTAATAGACCTAATGAATGCATAATCATGCCTAGCCTATTCAACTATCAACTAGGCAACATTTGTAATTTTTTAAAAATAATTTTTATTTATTTTATATATAATATAATATAATATAGTAGTGTAGAAATAGAAGAGCGATAAAATAATTGGTCTTAGTTATGTCGAGATAATTAATACGTAGGCTAACTTATACTTATACTAACTTCTTACGTTTGGTTAGTCGTTACGTTAGTTATAATATTAGTATTAGTATAGGCACAAATGAAATGGTATGAATATTATCTGAAGACTAAATTTTGGGTAAACTTTCCCTACTTTCACTATTGACTATTGTAGTTCATAGTCCATGAAATGGTTCGTGTTTTACCGAGAACATTGATTAAATCGAGATCGATCCAAGGTGGGCATATTCCCCCCCCCCCTGTGCTGTTGTAATGGACTTGAAAAAATAAATACAGCAAAAATTAGTTTAATCGTTGTCTTTCGTATACTGCTGTATTAAACATTGCATCACGAAATTTACAGAAAATTTTTAAACAGTTTTAAATAATTTTTTATCAAATGATAGTATTTCCATACTTTTCGTTTCTTATTTAAAGTTATTTTGCAGATTATGATTGCTCAATGTTTTATTTTTTACTGTTTGTACAGTTTATAGGTCTGCCTATTTGGATTAGTTCCTATTATTAATATAATAAAGCTTCAAATTTAAAGCCATTTATACAATGTTTTAGAGATATTTTTTTACATGATTTTTTAAAAGAATTTAAAAAAAAAAAAAAAAAAAAAAAAAAAAAAAATACTTTGAAAGCTTTTTGTTTATATATTTTGCTATCAAAACTACTTTAAATGTATGTTTGAAAATATTTTTGAATGCCTCAACAGTATAATTATAATTTTTATTTTATTGATAACCGTAAATGTTCAAATTTATCAAAGCCATTTTGTTTCACTGTTTCTGTACAGTGCTGCTACAAACCAAAGTCAAAGTTTCATATTTATGGCGACGGCACCAACGCAGCTAGGCCTGCTACAAATTGGACATGCAGTATTTTAATTTTAATTGTGTAAAATTTAAGCTGCTATTAATATATGGCCCAGACCAATAGACTTTGCGGAAAATCCGCCTCTCTGATGAGAGGGTCGTACCAATCATAAACTTGGAATGGAAAAACACAAAAATGCAAATAATTCCGCAATTTCGGTTGAATACCTTTTATCTTGGTGTTTGGTGACATCATTTCTAATCCATTAGTTGTTGGTTTTTTTTATCAACAAAGAGTAACTTCTAACTTTAAGGTTTTAAATTTAGTCGAGGAAAAAAAGAGAAAAAAAAAGAAATGTTTCAAATTTAAAATGTTCTTAAGTTTTACTAGATATATTTCAAATTTGGGTAAGACCAAACTTGTTAAGCCTACTTAAAAGTATTTATTAATTCTTACAATACTTACATATCAATTTTCGATAGTCGAAGTCGGCAAAGTTGGCCGGCCGGAATAGAAATTCAACAACGGTTGAACGTCAACGTTATTTAAATTCTTGGACTATTTAACTATGACTTATGATGACTAGAGTCTAGTGCTTAAGTTGATACCTAAAATTCAAACAAAAAATAATATTGTTATACAAATATTATAATTATAATTAAAATTACCACTTGATAGTCTTCCTTCAACTTGCTCTGAGTTGTTTAGTCAGTGCCTTTTACTTTTAAAATTGTTTATGCCTAAGCTATAACTTGATGATATGGCCACTGTGACTGTGGGTATGAAGTATGACTAGCTAGATCTTTATTCTTGGTCATCAAGTTAATAAGTTAATACTTCTTCCCCTTCACACAATAAGAGTATTAAATTATTCACACCTGTTACCTAACCTTGGCCTATCGCCTATACTATAAAATTAATAGGCCTATAATATTGTTTTGCAAAAAGTATAATTACTACAGTTTACTTGATCATATTCATTTTCTTTCAACTTAAACCTAAGTCAGGGCCTTTTCAAATAGTATATTACTCTAGCTTAGACAGAAGCAGTGCTTGATTTTAATATAGGTTCATGTCCCATCATTTTAAATGTTTACAATTTCTAAACTCTTCAACTCCCAGCTCTCAGCAGTGAACAGATAAACAAACTTACGTGCAAATTTACAGTTGAAATTCATTTTAATGCTATGAATGATGGCCCTAGCAATTGAACAAACTGTTGGACAGTCCATAGAGCAAAGAGTTGAAAATCTTATTGACTCTGTTTTCGTAAGTGTCAAATTTTCTTTATGAAGATACTTTTAATTTTATTTTTAGGCTTCCACCTCCTCCAAATGAAATATTATCTAAATTTTAATTCCTTTTAATCTCTAAACAAGAGTGTAGGCCAGCGGTGCTCAAACATTGACTTAAGACCGTGCCTGCTATTCTCTACAATTGTTTAGCCATCTTACTTCATTGTGCTGAAGCAAATCATCATCTAAGAAACTTTTAATTTTAAGTAGATAATTTTAAAATGGTTATTGCTTCTAATTCTAATGAAATGTATAAGTTTCATGACCGTTGCCACCACTTGTAAATTTATTGCTCAGTTTTTAACACAGAACTGACTGATAAAAGATGCAGTGATATTTCATTTAAACTGCCCTAAGATAACTGTCATAGATGGAGCATCATCAGTTGTCAGAGAGACACATTTTGTGACCTAGAATTCATTGTTTTGTAATGAATTCTAACATTACAGCAAAAATATCCTCACCTTGTGTCTGGCTACACAGTGGAAGTAACATAGCAAATTTTAATTGAAGAGTCAATTATTCATTTTGTTGTTACAAGTGAAAGTTAGGCTCCTGCAAAAAAAGAATTTTTTTTTTTTGAAATCATCAGTGGGCAGTTGATACGGCATCATAGGACAAATTTGGCCCATGGGCCACACTTTAAGTATCTCTGGTGTAGACTACTGAAAAAACATAGTTTGGAATATGAATTATATAATTAAGTTATTTCAAACGCAAAGTAAATAATTTATAAATAAAATAACTTGACTCAACACCGGCCTGATGTGATCAGATTTAATTGGATGCCTTTATTTTGAAAAAATTTTGAAAAAAAGTTAATAAATCCCATTAGTCACTTGCCTAAACATTTTTTCTGATAAGGTAATTGCAATCAATTATTAGGATGGACCAATATAGGTCATACCTGAAACGTAAATTGTCATGGGGTTTTCTGTATCATGTTGGGCAGTGGTTCTCAACCTTCCTAATGCAGTGACCCTTTAATACATTTCCTCACGTTGTGGCGACCCCCAACCACAAAAATTATTTTCGTTGTCACTATATAACTGTAGAGTATTTGTGTTTTCCGATGGTCTTAGGTGACCCCTGGGAAAGGGTCATTCGACCCACGCTGATGTAGGTTAGGGCCTAATAAGTATATATGTTTATTTATTTATTTATTTTTTAAAAATCAGGACAACACATTGATAGGCACCGCTTTTGGGCCTATTTCTGCAAAGCGTCCAGGGCAGACTTTACAAGACCGATGCATTGAGCGAGTAAAGGAGTTTTGGACATCACTGACTGCTGTATGTAAAAATTGGACTTTGGACTGAAAAAATCCTTAAAATATACTATGAACAAAATGTGGCAGATATTTTTTGAAATTTAGTTGAACACTTAACTTAATGTCAATAAATTTACAAATAAAATGTTAATTAAAATATATTGTTTTTTTTTAAGTGTTTAAAAAAATATTGTATTTAGGCTTATTTCATTAATAGTTTCATGATTTTTTTTTTATTTTCAAGATCTTTGTTTAAAAAAACTCCCCTCATTAAAAAACAAAAAACAGGAACCAAAAGAAACTCGAGATTTAGCTCTTCGTCTTTTGGTGCAACATCTTCACAAGCAGTGGAATCAAAAACGTGCTGATGCCATCTGTGCATCACTAGATGCACTTGTTGAAAAAAATATAGTTGAATCAAAGTAAGTGAAATTAACATTTAAGCAAGAGTTGGTGTAACATATTGTCAAACTTTTTTCTTTTTTTTTTTTTAAATTATTATTGATGTCATCCTTTAAGACCAAATAGGCATTCTTTCCCATCGGTGTCATTAAATTGCTAATGTATGCATTTATGAACGAAATATAAAATTTATTTGAATAAATATCTCCATATGATTATTTTATTTGGTAAGTCTAATAATTTTTTTTTATAGAGCTGTCTGTGATGCACTTTTGTCTTGTGACAAGTTGACGGTAGATGAGGAGCTTCACTGGGTTGCCACCTTTAAACTTGCCAGGAAAATTATAGGAGGAGTTGATTACAAGGTAATGACTAAAGAATTTGGATGAGACAGTTATGCAGTTGCTTTAAAACTGTTGCTCATTTATAACATAAGAAGCTCTAAAGCTAAAATTTAAAAAAATTGTTATACTTTTTCTTTAACTTAGCAAATTTTATAATAACTTTTATTAACAAAAACCAAATAAACACTGAGAACATTTTTTTTTTAAATTTAAAATTGTTAGCTTTTAGTGACAGGTTTTATAGCAAAGTTCAGTTTACATGCAATAGTTTAGCTCTATATGATAAAATTCAGAGCACACCACAGCTGTATTTGCCACTCTTCACTGCTTGAAATAGGTGTTGTTCCACTGGTGGCATTCCTTGGTCTGCCTTCTTATTGCTTTTCACGTTTTAAAAGAAATCCATTCTAAATATATTCTTTATCTAAAATATTTCTTGCTTCAACAGGGTGTCAGAGATCTCCTTAAAGTGGTGTTGGAAAAATGCCAACTCTTGAATAACACTAACAATATAGCTTGCTTGCCTCTCATCAAAGTTGTTATTTCAGTAAGTCGTTTGATCATAAAGGGGGAAAGACTTCAATATTTTTAAATATTTGTAACAAATGAAGCTAAGGATTGGTTTGAATCTGGGTTTTGGATGTTAAATTTGAACAAATAATTCCAGTCCAAAATATGAATTTGTTAATCATCACTGTAAAAAGAAATAATGTTTTTGTTTATGTGAAAGATTCCATGACCAAAATTCCAGTTTAACTAATTATATTATACATCAAATTCATTACGTAAATATTTAGTGAATCTGTACTTCTTTCAGGGCAATAAATTATGATTTGCTTACATACCCGTATTTGTAATGATTTTTTAAAAAAATCTTTTTTGGAGATTGTCTATAGCCAGTATACTTTATTTTTAGCTGGTGAAATACATCATTAACAGAAATTCATGTCTAATGCCCGCCTACTTGGCCATCTACGAGATTTCAAAGTTTGAGTCTGACAAGAACCAGCTCTGGCCACACTGGGTAATTATTTATTTAAAAAAAAACAACTTGCTTGGGAATTTAAAATTATTTTTTTTTAAAGAGTACATTTAATGCATCACACTGTATAAAATGGAATATTAGTATAATAAAACTTTATTTAATTTGAGATATAAACCTAATGATCAATATTCCTAATGTTATATACAAAATATTTCAATGTAAGGGTTACATAATAGTTTTTTTAAAACAAGTCAAAATGTAATGAAAATATGTCTATAATTATTTTTTTGCTTTCAGCCACTAGGTAAAGTACTTTGTGATTTTGTTGATGGCTTTAGGCATTGTGCACAGATGGTTTCTATATCAGGTGAGATCTTTAGATTTTTGTTTTAATTTATGAAATTCTAATCTAATAAAACTATTAACACTGGACTTTGACTCCTTTGGACCAAAGTTCTTTGAAGCAAAGCATTCAAAAAAAGGAATACTGTAATACATTGTTATTTGATGTATATTTTTAGGTCGGCATCAGCTTCTTCCCATCGTTGGTCATTCCATGTCATCCAGCAATGTTTGGAGGCTCAACAGAATGACCCTTAGGTTTGCTCTAAATGGCCCATTACCTTATAACAGAGTATGTATATTGTGACTCTGCACAGTTTCTAAAATCTATACATTTTATTTGTCTTGTAAACCAGGGATATTTTTTTTTTTTAATGATTTATTCATTATAAAATTGAGCTTTTGACATGCACAGGTTTCTTAAATGATTTATTCATTACACTTTTAAGCTTTTGACTGGCATTAGAAAGGAGTTGACTTAAAAATAATTTCTTTGGTTTTTTTTTCTCGCATTTCATAGCAAATTTTGTGATTCTAATTTGTAATTTTTTCTAAACATGAACCAATTAATTAATTGTATGAATAATGAATTGGGGCTACAATAAATTCTACTGTAAATGGTTTTGAGTATTTACTTTTTTGCTTCCTAATGTTTTACAGGAATTACAAGAACCTCAAAGCAACCTTCTTCGTTATGTTCTAGAGCAACCATATTCTAGAGAGCTAGTGTGCAACATGTTAGAGTTGAATATACAGGTATTTTCAAATGATTTTTACCAAGTGCTAATAGTTACAAAATGTGAAGGCAGAACCAATGAACAGGCGCCAGGAATAATTTTTTAAAATTAAATTCTTGGATCTAAATTTATTAACAAGTTTCATAAGTAATTAGCATTGAAGAGAAATCTACAAAGGTTTTAAAAAATACAATTTGTGAGTCCTCCCACTATTATCTTCATAAAAATGTCATTTAGAAGTTCAATATAACAGAAAATTAAAATTTAAAAAACATGTCTTTGGTACTTGTAGTAGTAATATGCATTGCTTTATTACTTTAGTATACCTGTTGCAATATTAAAATCATTTTAGGCCAAGCAGCTTTGTGAAGTATTAGAACAGCAACTTGTCGACCTGTTGGTGCTGGCACTGGAGAGATTTGAGCATGAGAGCACTGGTCATGGTGACTCACAGTTACAGTGGCAGCACTTGTCTTCACAGCTCATTTACTTTGTATTGTTCCAATTCGCCAGTTTTTCACACATTGTCCTTTCACTGTACGAAAAGGTAAGGTAACACAGGCTTTCTTTTTTCTGGGCTATCTCCTCTAGCAAGCCTAGATAGTTAATGAGGTGAAATTATTATTTTTCATCAGAACATATTGCAAATTTAAATAGAAATATTAAATTCAAATAATTTAGAGATATATTTAACATAGTCAATATTTGAAGTAGTTCAAGTGTCATTTTGTATTTTATTTAAAGTATCTTGTCATTTTAGTATATTTGTTTTTTTTGGTTTTTTTTTTCCAGTTAAAGGGGAAGAATCTAAAAAAGGGACGCCATCATCTAATGTGGGTTTTGTTACAGTTCATCTCAGGGAGCATCCAGAAAAACCCTGTAAGTTATAAGGCTTTGAATTGGTCTAGTAAATTCCACTTTCAAGCACGTTTTTAAAAAATGTTTTAAATAACTAACATGTTATGGGAGTAATTTTAAGTTGATATTAGCAGGTGTTGGCATTTACATACTTCTTACTTACTTTTTAGGTGGATTACCATGTGTTGGCATGTACATCTTACTTATTTATTTACTTATGCTTTTTATCCTTATTACAATCTCCAAAGGTTGAATTATTGTATCTTGGAACACTCAGCTTTTGAATTCTTTTAACTTAAACAAAAATGCTCTGTTAGTTACCAATGTTAACTCACAAATTCGGTTTTCATTTAGCGGCTGTTTTTAATTTTTGTTCTCCTTATTTACCATAAAGAGCATGTGAGAACTTTATCTAAAGGGAATAAAACTTAATTTTATTACCAACAGATTGATGATTTTTTGCCTGTGATGAAGCTCTATGATTTGTTATATGATGATAAAGAAGCCATACCAGTTCCTGACATCAACAGTCCTCAGTCAACACATGTGATGGCTGCCACGTGTATTTGGATACACTTAAACAAAAAAGCAGGCACCATTAAATTAAGACCGATTCCAGTCTCACTCAGAGATCATTTGGAGTAAGCCACCGGCTGGATTCTCACTATATTTTGTAGCTTGCAACCTGGCATTATTTTATAAATCATCTTATTTTTCAATATGCAAAAAAAAATGTGTTACAGCTTCAAGAACAGAATAAGAAGAAAAGAAAATTCAAATCTTCAATTCTCGTTTTCAGATTCCTAAAACAGAATCTCAAGTCACTCTCTCTACAAGGTTATCGAATTGCTCTCATGTGCAATGCTTGTAAGTTTTAAAATTGTTTTATTTTGTTAAACAAGTTTTTTTTGTTTTTTTTAAGTCATGCTACTTACGTCTTAGAAAATAAGTCTTAATATTGCTGTGTACATCAACATTTTTTTACCGTTTGACTTAATATCTCAAAATTAATTTTATTATTTTCATCATTCCTTAGACAGCACCGATACAGACAACTTCAGTCGGCCAATGGGTTTCCTTGTGGAAACCATTTATGGAAACAACAAAAATACAACACTATTACCAGGCAATGTTGTTGCTTCAGCCCCTACCACCCCACTTCAAATGAACTTTCTAGATTCTCTTACAGTTCATGCCAAAATGAGGTAAAGAAACCACTATACCGTGGTATTTTAACAGTTGTACAATATAGCTTTTAATGACTATTTGCAATTTATCAATGAATGTGGTAGTTTGTTTAATAATAATTTGCTTTATAAAAAAGGAATCAAATTCATTTTACAAACGTATCATCATTTACATTCCTACCAAACATTTACACTTTTTATTTAATAATAAAATAATATTTGGGGGGAAAAAAAATAATTTTTTTTAACAGTTTGATTCATAGCATTGTAACAAGAGTTATCAAACTGGCAAAGAACAAAGCATCAGCTGCACTGGCACCTTCTTTAGTGGAGACCTACAGTCGTCTGCTGGTCTACATGGAGATTGAAAGCCTTGGCATAAAAGGATTTATTAGTGAGTTTCATGTCTCTAAACATAAAAGTTCTATTTATTTTCCACATGACCAGTGATGAAGAAGTGGTTTGTCATGATTCCAATTCCAAAAACCAACTAGGAACAGCTGATTTTAATTATTTTTTTTGATACTCAATTTTTTGTTTTTTAAGACCATATTCAGTTTTTTGTTTTTTAAGACCATACACAATCCTTTTGGCAGCCATCTTGTTAAAAGTCACATTTCATATTAAGTTGCTTTTTTTTAAAATTTGGTATCATAATCAAGGGGTGAATTCTCCTCAGACCAACTGCTACCTACAGTTGTTGAGAACCAAGCACTGGGCATCCTACACACATTGTTGGAGATGTTTTCCTACAGGCTTCACCACACACAGATCAACTATCGCATCCAGCTGCTTGCTCATTTACATCAAATGTCTAATAATCAGCCTATCAATCAAAACCAGCTTTACATGTGGTGAGAATCACTAATAATTTTTGTAGTCTCTGATATTTTCTTTTGCATTGCTAACTAAACTTTCTATTTGCATTTTTATGCAAGTATTTATAAAAGTACACATTTATTCAAGCCAACTAAATATACAAAAATTGATAAAACAGCTATTGTTTGTTCTTTGTATGCAAAACTAACCATTTCCCACTGGAGAGTTCACATTATTCATTTGGGAAGTCGACTGAATGGTGTTCTTGTCACATGCCCTACCCATCTGGCTTGTCCTGTTTGTAAGAGCATGTGGATGCTGATGCAATCAGCCCAAGAACCTCTGTATCAAGGAATCTGTCCTGCCATTTTATGCAGTGTCGGTGGAGGTGGTTGAGCTGTCAGACATGTCTGGTGTACATTGTCCACATCTCGCTAGCATATAGGAGTGATGTTAATACGATTGCCCTATATGCTTTCAGCATAGTGACAAGACTGAGACCTCTTTGCTCCCAAGCAACTACTCCCTCGTTGATAATCCCAAAAGAAAAATTTTATTTTTTACAATTATTATGCTCTGCTTAATGTTACTTTGAGAAAATTAACTTTCATTTTTAGTATTCTAAAATATTTTTAACATTGCAATATTATTTTTATCAAGAGGAAGAAAGAAAAGGATGCTTTCATTTTTTTTTTTTTTTAAAGTACAAGAGATGGTTATGATACCTTCACATGTAATACTGTCATTCTTTATACTCTAAAAAAGTGTTGAAAGCACCATTCTGAAGCTGATCATAGGCCTGGGTAGCTCAGAGGTGCAACCACAGCTGTCTAGAATCTCAAGCGAAGCAAAAGGTGGAGCATCATTTCTTGTCAGCGACTCAGAGGAGCTCAACAGAGCTTTGGTTCTTACGATAGCCAGGGCTATGCATGTGACTGGTAAGTGGCTCTAAGCAATTTTTAATAAAGGAATTGGTTTGCATTAAAATTTTCAGCTACCTGACTTCTTGATCACCGGACACATTAAAATCAATTGTAGGGACTGGCTCCTGTTAAATTATGAAATTGCCATGCAATATACTTTGTATTAAATGAAAGTCTATGAAATTAACATATCATATTTAACGATATACCTTTTGCACTGTTACAATCTACATTGTATCCAGTATCTAGGATCAGGCTCATCACAGGGTGAGTGACAAGTGAAATTTTGTTATAATTTTTATTTAAAATCCATTTGTGGTTCCATATTAATAATCCAGTTTTCTATAATATTTAAATTACTTTGTCTTCATCTTAGCCGTAGACAACATGTCAAGTGTCTGGTGTGAAGACATTCTAAATGTTATTATGCAAAAAACTCCCATCAGCTGGTCCTCTAACACATTGCAGTGTTTCCCTCAGGTAAATTTATATATATATATTAATATATATATACGGTAACTCATTGCTTTATTAAATAAAAATTAAAAAATTTAAGTGCCATTTACAGTTTTGTTTTGTCAGGTAGATAGATAGAAATTCACAATTAGCTGCTATATTTTAAGATAAGATAAGATTCCTTTATTGATCCAAATACAAAGGCAAACATTTAAAAACTATTACACAATAGATCCAAAGTGTTTCTCAAACTGAAAAAGCAGCCGTCATTTGCCTAGGAACGTCATTCCCTTTGTGACAATATTGCTTTAAATAGGAATTAATTAGATTTTGTAACATTAACTTTTATAACTAAATATTTTTCAAAAACCTTTTATTTAGTAAATAATTTCCTTACTTCATAAGCTGCTTGATATATTTTCTGCAGAGTCTGGCTGAATATTTTCAAAAAAATAGTATTAATAACAAAGACAATAAGAATCAACTGAGGACATCTGTGGAAAATGAGTACAGGAAATGGAAAAGTAAGTATTTATCTTATCAGCACCATTTAGATCCTGTCATGCAAATGTATAACACATACATAATGTTTAAATACATAGTATTTAAAAATATAGTATTTACATAGAAAACATAGCAGGCAATGTTTCAAACTTGCCCAATTTGCATTTGTAGTTGTTATCAAAAAGCTCAACTTAACATCTTTGCTAATTTTAGTTATTCAGATGTTAAGACAAAGTGATGTAGATCATTCAATTTCATTGATTGCTATCAAATATATACTCAAAGTATCATTTATGAAAAAATAAAAACTTGCAAAGTCTCTACAGCAACAGTTGAAAAAGTTTTACAGACCTGCAAGCCTCATGCTTATTTTTTTTCACAAATGAGCAGCCAAAAATTTGTTGTTTTTTTTCCTAGCATTTTCATCTTATTCTGATTGTACATTTCTTGCTTTGTCAGGCATGGGTGGTAATGAAAGTGGTATAATCGCACATTTTTCCATGCAGAGCAACCCACCTCTCTTCTTGTGGTAAGTTAAAAACTTAAAAGAATGCATAAATTGCTCTTAAAATCATCTATTTATGAGGTATACATTTCTAGAAAACCTTATGTAAATGCTTATTTAATGGATTTTTAAGATTTTTAAATTTACTGTAGGGTTTTTGAGTGTAATTTTGTTCAGTTTTATATTTATACAGTAGAATTCAAATTTTATATACAAGATTGAGTTTTCTAAGGTTCAAACTATATTTTGTTTTATAGCATAATATGGAAAAATATACAAGATGAAAACAGGGTCCCTTCTACTGCATTTAAGTAAGTTTTGCTCTTTAACTTTAAACATCAATATTTTTAAATTAAATTTATAAAGAGGAATCTAAAAAATATAGCATTTAATTATTCTAGCAAATCTTTTAAAGCCAGAATTCAAAATATCACACTAAATTTGGTGTGAGTTGTTGACATATATTTTAAGTCTAATTAAAGATATTTGCAAATTTGTTCATTGTTTGGGCAGATATTTTTTTTTCAATATTGGTGCTTATTCATACAAATATTTTGTAGCTTTTTTATGAGTCAACTATAAACACTTTTATCCTTTTCACATATTATTTTTCTGATACAGAGTTCTAGATAGACTGGGACCTAGGGCACTGACATCACATCTTAGAACATTTGCTGACTATTTAGTCTTTGAGATAGCATCTAGCCCAGCTATGCAAAATTCATCAAAGGTAACATAAATTATTTTTGTCAGACACTTTATTTTGAAATAACAATCCAAATAAAGATTTGAAGGGATGTAAAAAAATCATTAATCATTTCTTTTTCTATATATTAAGGGCTCACAATCAAAGTATTGATCATTCTGGCTCCTATTTACATTACTCATATATGTTGGTACTTACAGTGCATTGATGCATTGACAGACATGATGTGGAAGTACAACATAATTACGATAGACAGACTTGTTCTTTGCCTGGTAAATATTTTTTCACAGCAATTATATTCCCAATGGTGTAAGCTTTTTTTGTCTTTTTAAATATATCTTTACCCTTTGAAAGATTTAGAAATTGAGTATGACCTGTTTAAAAACGGGCTACGGCTATTTAAAATTCTGTTTTATCTTCAGGCGTTGAGGTGCCTTGAAGGCAAAGAAGCTCAGGTTCAGTTCGTAGTCATCCAGTTTTTATTAACAGCCAAACCGGATTTCAAGACACGCATCCATGACTTTGTCAGAGAGGTGAAAGTTTATTTAAAGAAATCACAACTTAGCTTAGTTAAGGTGGTTTTATCTGGTGCAGTACCCCAGCCTAGGCCTAGGCTCACTGCCCTTCACATAAAAATTAGCAATTACAGAACTAAAACAACAACAGATTTGATCTGATTTGTTGTTTATTACGATGTTAATATTTAAAATAGCTTTTATTATGTCAACCTCTATAAATGAAGTAAAAATGTTAATGTATAAAAAAAATATTTATTTTTTAAGAAACAATTCTTTTTTTAAAAATATGTTATATGGGTCATTTATTTAAAATCTATGTAAACAAAAATAATTAAATCATGCTTGAATTTATTTCTATAATTATACTACAGAACACATCTGAACATTGGTCACAATCAAACTGGCATGACATTCACATGAATTTTCACAAGGTATGTGGAAGCAATAGAATTTTTTTTTACAAAATATATTTCCTGTTTGGATTCACTTAAAAAAAATTGGCCTTTTTTTAATATGAGCCTTAAGGGGTTAGGCGCCCGAAAATATCTAAAATTTTCAAAAATTGTCCATTTTTTTATTTTTTCATTTTTACGAAGATAAACATTCTTAGAATCGATTACATATCAATTGATACTACTTTTTAAAAGATTTGTTGTGAAACAACTGATATTTAACACCCCTCCCCACTCTAAAAATTGACCTAATTTTGGAAATAAAATAAAATTCATACATATCCCATGTTTGAGACCTCAAAAAACTAGTTTTAAATAACATAATATGCTATTATTATATATCAACGTAAAGGTAAATTCAAGCAGTTTTTTTTTATTTTTAGAATCGAAGTCAGTAAATATAATTGCTACAAATAATCGGATCCACAAGCGAAGTGTGTGTAGGATTTTCTTCACTTCTATTTATATAATTATTTTACCGATTTTCATTGGTCTGAATGATGTGACCTAATTGAATGAGTTTATTGGCTGCCTACTCCTTACTGGCCCCTAATTTATTTTATGGATTACTTGAGTACACAACTCAAATAACTAACAACCAAACAAAAATGTTCTCAAGTCAAAAAAGTTTTGTTTTTCTATTAAATTTTAAATTATGTACCAGTGTGTTAGACCCAGTAGACAGATATGGTAAAAAAAAAAAAAGACTAGTCCTCCAAAAATAAGTCTCTTTCTCATGCTTTATACAATGGCATCCTTTAACTTTAAGATGTTCATTGCAACTACCTTGTGAATTAGGTCAAGTCAAATGAGAAAAGTTGTTGAAAGGAGATTCGAGATATCAGGAAAAACAGTCAGTGTCCGCATGTATGACTCCCAGTGCCAAGGAAAAAGTTTAAAATTGGTGGTTTTGTTCTGACTAAGCCAAGCTCTCTAGAGGAATAGTTGAAATTAATTCATTATGAATGAAATTTTTATTATTTAGAATACCTAATTAATTCATAAAGTACTGTGTGATTAAATCTTTTAACTTAAACAATACACATAAATAATCTTAAATAAAGGATTTAATTTTAATAATTAAATTTATATTATTACTTTTCTAAAATTCAAATGAAAACAATAAATGT